GGAAAGTCCTGTCACACTTGTAAGTTTTTTCTTCTTCATTTTATAACTCAACATGAAATAAAAATTAATTAAGAATATAATCGCCATTGTTAGCTACTACAGGGCTCCACCTAATGGGCAAGTAGCGATCCTCTTCTCCCAGAAATGGGGGGCTGCGAGTTGAAGAAGTAGGCTGCTTACCGACTAATGTCATCAAATTCGCTGATTTCTTACACCTAAGAAAGCCTTAAGGGAAACAGGCAATAGCCGGAGAGGGCTGAGTCTGGAGAATATGGTGGATGCGGTATGGTCTCCCAGCCTGGCTCCTGAATTTTTTGTTGAGTCTCTTTAGCCACATGTGCTCTGGCGTTATCATGGAGAAGTAGCACCGATGCTCGCCTCGGCCGCTTTTCTCGAGCAGTTTGTGCGAGTTTCTGGAGCTGGGCGGCGTAAAGGGTAGCGGTAATGTGCCCTTTCCTGGAGCAGCTCGTGGTGCAGCATGCCCTTCGAATCCTCAAAAGCAGCAGAGGAGGACCTTCTCGGTGTACAGGCTCGATTTGGCTGGGCGGGTCTTCCCCTCGATGTAGCCACACGGCACGACGTAAGTTAGAATCATAGACTACACAACTCTCATCTCCAGTCACGCTATCCTACAGAAACTCCTTTCGGTTACGATGTAGAAGGAGCGAGGGCACACGGTATACCATGGTAAGCGATCGACAGATGCTCACCATGGTATACCGTGTGCCATCTGTTAAAGTATGGGGTATCCATCGCGTGTGGATTTCTCTGTAGCCGAGGGCTTGAAGGCGGCTAAGAGCTGTTGAATGGCTACACACGAGTCTTGTCGCAATACTGCGGGTGGTAGCCCCTAGATTCTCTTTGACAGTTTCCAGAACGACGGAGTCTTCCACGCCGTGTGGGCGTCCCGCCCGAGGTTTATCTTCGAAAATGCGTCTCCTTTCGCGAAGCGAACGAACCGACGGTGGACAGTCCTGATTTTGGTGGTATCCTTCCCCAATGCACTATTGATGTTACGTACAACGCCGTCGCTCCAGTGCAGCACCGCCACTCATGGAAGATTATCACTGGAAGCTGCTCTTGTGAAACCGACATCGTAAATAAACCCAGGGAAGAACAGGAGCCTTAGTATACTTCTTGTGAAAAAGCTTTGAGAATGTTCTACATCCATAACATGTTACGAAATATTCGAGCATCAAGGATCGAATCTTGTATTCTATCCAAAAAAACACTGACAGGACTTCCCTTCCAATCTATATTTGAATGGGTGACACACGGAACGAAGGACGAAGAAATCAAAAGAGACTTCGATTTTCACTTCGATTTAGAGGAACTTCGATTTTTGACACAATTCCCAAGAACAGCATTTCACATAGCCCCCATTAAAAGTTCATGAGTTTGGCAGTCTGTAATTCTGAGGCCTGGATCTTGCGTCGCTTATGTTTACTGGTTTAGCTCGAATGAATACTCATAAAAAGGCCTAATTGTCCAGAATTCGAAATCGTCATGAGAAGGAAAAGTGCTGGCCGTTGATCAATCCTTCCTTGGGAGGCGGCACACACTCGGTGAACGAGATGTGACGTACAATGGCTTGCGGCGCCAGTCTATGTACAAGTCAGTGTGCCTATCTTCCCAGAATCTGGTACCGATTTCTTATCCTGGTAGAGTGGGAGGCTTTGTAGGTGTGGGCGGGAGCCGAACCGGGACTGGACTCCAGGCAGCGCATGTGGCAAGCGTGCTTCTTGTCATTACAAAACCTGCGCCTCGTATCTCTTTACATACAGGGTTTTATATAGAGCGGAGTGCCTAGAACCATTCTATTTGTCGCTTTATCAACAGAAGGAGCATCCTATCGAAACGATGAGTGGGTGCGGCATCGCAGTACGAGGTGACGGAGATGTGGCAAGAGAACTGTATTTCGCCGCGCCAGTGGGCGTCGTGTACGTCGTCGCGCCTGCTAATGACGACAGTATTAGGTGGTACTACCCGAGAATAGGCAATGTATGACCAAAAGTAGACATAAGCATCAACCAGTCGTTGTCTAGTCTAGTCCTTGTCTAGTACCACCCCAAATGTTAGAAAAAAAAGCAAAAAAAACGCCAATTCTCGTTTTTTCCTTTTTTTTGCTATAACTCACTTTGTTTGAATATTTCTCGTATAGAAACCTGCACTGTGCTGCACTGTTACATCAGCTCGCCAATTTCTAGAAGCTGGTGTCTTAAAAAACTGAAAAACTCCAAAATTGAAATCTGCTCAACCCCTCTAATTTCAGAAAATTGACACCATAATGATCAGCAGTATTTGGGAAACACAACTATCTAATTTATACTCATTCCTTACGTGATATAGATCGTCGTTTGACTCCGAATGATCCAATTTCAACAATTACTCTCTGGTCACAACTATAGCGAGACTTACCCGCTAACGAGTATCTTCAGGTACTTCGATAGGGAGCAGGTTTCAATTTCGGGATTTTTCAGTTTTTTTTAAGACACCAGCTTGTAGAGCTCGACGAGCTGAGTGTAGCAGTATAGGTTTCTATGGGAGAAATATTCAAACGAAGTTAGTTATAACAAAAAAAAACGAAAAAAAAACGCGAACCGGCGTTTTTTTCCGCTTTTTCGAACAATTAGGATGGATATTGTTCGGTGCTCCAATCGAATGGTTCGTGCAAATCAAGGAAACGTCGCACCCATAGCCGCGCGCGACGGAGCGGCAAATTACAATCCCCTTGCCCGTGTCCCCGAGTTGCTCTGGACGATGGAGCCGATACGCAGCTCCGCTGCCATGTTAAGTGGAGCGGGTACTAGGGCGGATGCTGCTCGCGTCACCCACTTGCAAAGTCTATTTTGCCACGACTTGTAAGTCATACCCTGCACCGGGTCACGGAGACTCGATCAGGGCACCAAGTAAGCTCTATTGGCGAAGCTCGGGCAAGAAAAATTCTGTTCCCTGAGATCCAGAGGTAGCATTAGTTGTACAGCGCCCAGATGACCCATTAGCGATGGACCAACTCGATTGCTGTCGCTCGACACGCGCGCTTATGGTTATGGCGATCAAGGCGCGAAGTATGAACGCACGCTGACGTCTTCAAAGTGAGAAAAAAACGCGGTTATAATACATCGGCATTGTGGACCAACATGAGGAAAGCATTCGTAATCCAGCCACGATCAGCCTCGTCCCATAAATCGAAGTGAAGGCAAGGTTGTGCTTGGAAAAGAGAACGGCAAGGGTGAAGGATAAATCGTGTTTGCTGCAGCCCGCGTGTCGGAATTGTACACCTCAATTACTCTGTCGAATTGGTACCAAAACTCATTCGCCTTCAAGAGGGCATAAATTGAAGCATGGCATAAACTCGGCAACAAAAAAAGTGCACCAGCTGAAGAAAAACCCTCATTCTGGGAAATTTCTCGTTATTCCTAAAAACGCACCCCCTATTCGTAGTGATAGAATAGATAGTGGAGGCTCGGTGTTGATCAGCTCCCTTGTGAGGCGTGCCGCTTCCTCACTTCCATTCCTGATCGTGTTAGCGTTGTAGGTGTCTAAGCCAAGCGATCCTAGTCATAGATATACTGCACAGATTTACTGGCATGCAGGTAATCCATATGTACGTCATCACTCTCTAAATATCTTAGCTTCCAACCGCCAGGTTCATATAAGCATGTGTAGCCTTCAGACAATGTATACTTCCATCGACCTTGAAACGTGACTACTGTAGTGCTGAGTGCTGACCTCTGCACTGACAACACTTGCTCCTCCAGAGTGTTAAATGCGAACTCCAACGCTGTGGTTTGTATAGCATATGATTGTTATCCCAAGTTCCAGAAACAATGTGGCCCATATGTTCTCGGGGGTGTTGATGACGAAAAGCGAACCGATATTCACTTAAGCGCAGGACGGCGCCTAGGCGTGGCTTTACCAGCGAAATTTCACATTGTGAAGAAGAGAATGATAATTTGCCGTATGCAGACCAAGATTATATGAAGACCGCTCTTCAAAATATAGCTACATAAAACCAGTAACGTCCTCAAATCATAAGACACGAAGCATTTCGGACGAGTGCACGGCTGCCCGTATGTACCCATATGTCCATGCAGCACCGCAGCCGCTTCATATCAATTTTCGCTTCATATTTTACTCAGCAAACGAAGCAATTCGAGCATCAGATAAACTCATCCATTTGTGGGCGGGTGAACGCAGTCGGCATCCGCGTCCGTGTCGGTATGTTGCAGCTCGAAAAGTGTAGTGCACCCCTTCACGTCTTGTGGACTCATCATGCTACGTCTTTGAGCGTTAGCTGGTGACACCACTGGAAATGGTCATTTTGCACTATCCTCACAGCGTACAGTCGTGATCCCTGCAAGGATAGGACGTGTGACGCAGCACAGACTGTACTACAGCCTAGGCGGCCTTTTTCCATCAACGGAACCATCCTGAGTCTGAGAATCGACTGGAAATCCTGATTGGTGAGAATTCTGCCTGGCGCTCCAAACCACGCCTCCATCACACGGCCTGTTGGGGTCAACTGCAGATATTCCGCCCTACACTTAGCCACTGAATGTTGCACATATAGCACGATCGCATACCGTTTGTGATAACTTCGGTCCAAAACTTCACTCCGACAATGTTTATTCTACCTATCTGGGCGTTACAACGAAACAAATTGAAAGGGAGTTGAGAAGGACTAATGATTCCTTCAATGCATCCCTAATTCCCTTTCGACTACCTGTATTCAACTTTCTTCTTTGACATACACGAATAAGAAAGTTTTCCTCCAGAACAGGATGAAAATCACAGCGGAAATCACCCGGTGATTGTAAATAGATGTTGTTCACTGTTACCCAGTATTGAAGCAAAGTAAAAGAAAATCATCCAAACAATTCTCCCTTAAATGAAACTCAACATATTATAAAAAAAACCCCCGCACTATTCTTCCTAATAAAGATAAAAACGGTTCAGCAGTAAGAAAAGACAAGTAATGGTCAGACATTCAGTAATTATCAAGTTCTTTGAATAATGTGAACATTGAATTTGACGGCAGGCAGAGTTTCCACTGTAGCTGTAACTTCCGCATTCACATTCAGATTCGCCAACGCTCCTCTCACAGCTCCACATGGAAACGTGACCAACGCTCCAGCCTCACGTACGAACTGTTGACCTTCTGCTAGCGATCGTAATGTGCAGAACTTGTTATCTTGCACCACGTACACACCCTTGAAAAAAGTCCTTCAATGCATCCTTCAGAAAGCTGGACATCACTAGTATTAGGTTGTCCGGAAAGTTCTCAGCGTTTCGAGTGTTTCACTTTAAACGATCATAACTTTCTCAATACTCATCGGATTTAATCCAAATAAGCACCATTCGAATTAGCACATTTTTGCCAATGTGAAGACAGTCGACAAATCCCACCAAAGAAAAAATTGGGTGGCCGAGAATCCACGAAATCTACGCAGGCTTTTTTGGATGGCCCTAATTGATGAAGTATTTTCCAGCAAGGAAGTACTGAAAATGTTTGAAAAGGTGATAGTCGGTCGGTGAAAGGTCTGGAGAATATGGATGGTGAGGTAGAACTTCAACCCTCACTTCGTTCAATTTATGGATAGTGATTTGTGAAACGTGTGGGCGGGCGTCATGCAAAAGAATCGGACCCTTTCTGTTGACAAGTGCTGGCTGCAGCTGACGCAATTTTAGGTACATTTCGTCGATTTCCTCACAGTAGGATTCTGCTGTGATGGTTTGGCTGGTGATAAAAAGTTATAGTGGATCACACCAGCCGATGACCACCAAACCGTGACGGGAATCTTTTTTTCGTGAAGGTTCGGCTTTAAAAATTACCTCGGTGATTCGTCGAAATCCAACCACTGTCGGAAACGTCTCCTGTATCATACATGATCCACTTTTCATCAAAGGTGACAATTCGGTTCGAAAACGGGTCGTTTCTGTTGCGCAAAAGCAGTGAAGAAAAACCTCGAGACGTGCCAGTTTCTGCCGATCACTCAAATTGCGGGGGCACCCATTTGTCGAATTTTTTAATCTTCCTAATGCGTTTCAGGCCACGCAACAGTGGATTTGCCAACGCCTAACCTTTCTGCAATCTCTCGAGCTGTTTGGGATGGGTCAGCCTCCAGAAACCCCTTCAAATCCTCGTCAGATATTGCTTTAGGTCGACCGCTATGAGGTTCAGTTTCAAGGCTGAAATCTCCAGAACGTAATTTGTTGAACCATTGTAGCACGGTGCTTCCTCCTACACTGTTGGGCCCCCACACCTGGTTAATTTTTCGAGCTCTCGAGTGCGGAATGACCTAACTTTTAGTTGAAGAAAAATATCGTCCGAAGTTGCTCTTTTGACATGCATCGAAAAGTCTTGGGAAAAGGGGGTTTATCAAGCAATGGTGTAACGACAATATCAGATAGCGCAAAAAATTCTCTTGAGAATGTACTACTGAGACGCAAGGGAGAGTGATTTTTTTAATCAGCAACGAATGCACAAAAAATAGTAACACAAAACGCTGAGAACTTTCCGGACAACCTAAATAAGCATCAATTACCATGATAGAATGACAAGATCGGTACGCTTTTCAATCTGGCTCCCACGCAATGTAAACTCGTCCAAAAGTTGAGAGAAATGGTATGGGCAGCGTTTATTATAACTATGAATTCCTATCTATCATTGTTGTTAAAAAACGTTAAATGAGCTGGTTGAAATTTTTCAAAACTTTACGAACACCCTAATACATTGTAGACAATTCACGCGAGTACCACGGGTAGTAGGTGTTCAGTTATGAACCAGTAGCCGGTAAGCAGACTACCCAGAAGGAATAAGCGGAAAACGTTGGGTACATTCTTAACTAAACAGCTGATAGTCACACAGCCTCATTTTCACCAGCTCTCCAAACTTGCCGTGAAATCTACACCTTGCGCATCTATGCAACCCCTTCCTCACTCATTGTTTCTTCGCATCTCCCAGCATTAAATGCCATCAAATGCTGGAAAAAAAAATGAAAAACAAGTTGGATCTTGGAAACTCTGCATGAATTCAGGACTACGGTAAGCAACGCACCACGAGCATTTGCACCGACACGATAGCATCACATACCATCAACCCACGCCTTGGAGAGAATATGACATCCTAGACCACAGCGACGTTGTCGGAGCTGCTCGATGTTGGAGGTCTCCCAGATAAACAGTGCTGGTCCCCAGGTAGCTGTCAGGGTGACTCCACTCAAGGAGTTACTATTTGGAGGTGACTGAATTCTACGGGCTTCTTCAGTTCGGCTGCGCTGCAGATGGCGTCATATTTTGGTGTACATGAGGGTGATGGACGAGAGCCTTTTTGCTTATCGAGGAGCATCCTGGATATCTTCCCCCCCCCCTGGCACTCGTATCCACGCCTTCCTCTGGGCTGCGAATTGGTATGAGCCTCGGGTGAAGTGTCTTTTTTGCCCCATCTCCTGATATCCAACGACTAGTCTAGGATAGCACCAATTCTCGTCGAACAGTTGATCCGCTTTTAGCTATCGATGGATGGATGAGCCTCAAGATAAAAGGTTCCAAATACCACTTATAGTAGTGTTGACATCAAAAATCAACCTGGTACTGTTTATGCGCCGAAATGGCGCACCCATCGTTTGTATGCCCAAAAGAAGTGTGTATAGTTCTACCCCCCCCCCACCTCCCAATCTCAGCCAAATGAGAGCGCCCTATGAAGGAAACCATAGCTAAACAATGAAACTTGGGAATGACTCTCACTTGATGATTTGTTCTCAAGTTGTCCACTTGCTTTCCAAACATCGCCGACCAGAATTCCTTGCAGATAAACTTCACGACCTAAGAAAGCATTGTGGCATTCACAAGATTACAAATTAAATGCAGATTTGTGTATTTAACTGGTATTTGGTAACTGGTAACACTAAAATACTTTGTAATTACAATAATGAGCATAAGCTCAACAAGCCGAACGATGCATCAGCGTGCTTCAAACATTTTTTTCTAGCTGTGTCAACAAGCAGTACTCAATAAGGCCGCGTTAATTTTCTGCGAGTTTAAACGATCGTAACTTTCTTAATACTCATCGGATTTGATCGAAATAGGCACCATTCGAATCAGCACACTTTTGCCAATGTGACAGCAGTCAAGAAATTCCGTCAAAATAAAAAACTGGGTGGTCGAAAATTCACGAAATCCACGAAGGCTTTTTTGCCTGGTCCTGTTTGATGAAGTATTTCCCAGCAAGGAAGTTCTGAAAATGTTTGAAAAGGGAATATTCGGTTGGTGAATGGTATGGAGAATATGGCGGTTGAGGTAGAACTTCAACCTCCAAGTCGTTCCATTTATGGATAGTGTTTTGTGAAACATGTGGGCGGGCGTTGTCATGCAGAGGAATCCTTTCTTTTGATAAGTGTTGGCTGCATTTGACAAAATTTTTGGTACATTTCATCGACTTCTTCACAGTAGGGTTCTGCTGTGACGGTTTGGCCTGGTGATAAAAAGTTATAGTGGATCACAGCAGCCGATGACCACCAAGCCGTGACCAGAATCTTTTTTTCGTAAGGGTTCGGCTTTGAAAATTACCTCGGTGGTTCGTCGAAATCCAACCACTGTCCGCAACGTCTTCTGTTATCATACATGACCCATTTTTCATCACAGGTGGCAATTCGGTCCAAAAACAGGTCGTTTCTGTTGCTTAAAAGCAGTGAAGAAGGAACCTCAAGACGTGCCGATTCCTGCCGGTCACTCCGATTGTGCGGCACCCAATTGTCGAGTTTTTTCACCTTCCCAATGCGTCCCAGACCATCTGCAACAGTGGATTTGCCAAGGCCTAGCTCTTCTGCTATCTCTCGAACTGTTTGGGATGGGTCAGCCAAAATCCCCCACAAATCCTCGTCAGATATGCTTTAGGTCGACCGCTATGAGGTTCATCTTCAAGGCTGAAATCTCCAGAACGACATTTGTTGAACTATTTGCCGCACAGTGCTTTCTCTAGCACTATTGGGCCGCCACACCTGGTTAATTTGTTGAGCTGTTTCGATTGCGGATTGCCCCAATTTATAGTCGAAGAAAAGAATCGTCCGAAGTGATCTTTTCACATGCTTGAAAAAATCTTGAAAAAAGGGGGTTTATTAAAGCAGTGGTGAAACGGCAGTTATACCATCAGATAGCGCAAGAAATTCTCTACAAGATGTGCTACTGAGAAGTAAAGCAGAATGAGTTTTTAATCAGCAGTGAATGTACAAAATTTAGGTGCACAAAACGCTGAGAATTTTCCGGACAACCTAATAATAGGAGAGTCGGCGATTCGACATCCCAGGAGAATGTGCGCCGAAGTACTGGACCAGAAAACACCGAATCCGTTCGCTAACGATTTGATAGAGTGGAAAAATTGGCAAACTGAGAGAACGCGTGCTCAAAATTGGACTCGGCCGATTTCCATTTATTTCTTTGGCGTAGATGTCCTGAAACATCGAATCGCCGATTATCCTGTTCTTCCGACACTCCGGATCGACACTTTTACTTTCTTTGATGAATATTCCCCAGGAAAATCAAATCGCCGATTTTCTCGGTCTCGGGACGTAAAGTATGAATGCAGCTTGAGCGGACACTATTTCAGAGAGAAATTTGTTTAAAAAATTAAACAAATGTAGAAAAACTCTCCGGCGAGAAGCAAGCTAAACATCACCCTATACATAATTTGCTCTGTTTGTTTGTGTGTTTGTGAGTTTGTAAGTTTTTTGCTTGTCTGTCCGGAAATTCGGTTCAACCTGAAGAACGACTTGGAGTGGTGGGGTCAAGGTGGGGATGGGTACAGCATGGGACAAGAAATAAAAAGCACACTTGATCTATCCGAAGCACCGCCCACAATGGGTGGGGCACTTGCTGAAATTTTGGGGTTCCGCAGAGAAATGTTCATAATTCGCTTCCAGAGCAGCCCGAAGATGGGAAAAAGTTTAATGAGGTTAGCAAGAAGTTGCCAGACTACCTGTGGAAAACACCCCAATGGGCGGGGCGTACTCAAGGTGGGCGATGCTTTTCAAAAAACTCAGTAACCCGGTTCGGGAGAGTGTTTAGACGTCGCAAAAAGCTCAGTGCAGAATGTAGATATCTGGTTGAGACCCACCCACAGTGGGCGGAGCTTGCCCTAAGCCGCAGGATACTCATTTTAAAAGTTTGTAGCTCGGTTTAAAAACATTCCAGAAACCGGAAAAGAGAATCAAGGACAGCGAGAGCTGGGCCGATTGAGGATTGCGGGCCACAAACATTGTGGACGCGGCCTGCTCCGAGGTGGGCGGAGTCAGACGAAAAATCCGTAAAGTAGTTTCAAAGCACTCCAGACACTGGAAAAAAAAGTGGATCAAAGTCAGCAGAGGGTCGCCCATTGAGAAATGTGGGGTATAAATGCTGTGGACGGGGCCAGCCCGAGGTGGGCGGAGCCAGATAAAAAAACCTGCAAAACGGTTTCAGAGCGGTCCAGACACCGACAACATGTAAGCAGAGATGTGCAGGACCTCAACTGTTCGATATATGGCAAGAGTTGAGTGTGTCTGTGGTGTGTTGTAACCCGCTCCCAGTGGGCGGAGTGCACGACGTACTTATTACTCTTAACCACCGGACGTCATAGGTATTAGATTCCAGTCGGCTCGGCGGCTGATGCCAGCGCTCCTCCTCCTGTGATACGGCCCAAGTTGGCCGGACGGGCACGGCTTCGCCACATATTCCTTCCCCAGCTATTTCTCGCATGTGCCCATACGTACTTTAGTACCTTTCCATACTCAGTAATAGTCAAAATAGCAGGGATGATGTATTTGTCGAGAAGCTTTAACCATGAGTACAGAACAAAAACCTGATATCAGTTGAGTCTAGAGATATGTGAAAGAAGGTACGCACGGCGAAGCCGCGCCCGCCCGGCGCGGTATCAGGAGGCGCGCCGGCGTCAGCCGGCGAGTCTTCTTCTGATACGACGCCGGGCGGGCGGTACTGGTAGATAGATAGCGCAAGTTAGCCGTGTCTTCTTACAATTTCCTTTCCATGTTTCCTAATCGCTAACGTGATTGATTGCAACCATGTGATTTTCAACTTTTATACAACTTTATCCTAACGCCTCTGGCTGCAGGGTGCAGTGGTATACAATAACTATGCAACGTCCCACGGGCGTACAAAATGCATATAGTGCATATAAAACAAAAATTTTATACGACCCCCCCCCCTTTTCCACAACAAAAAATCAGCTATCAAAATAAATTTGCCTTACAAATACGACCCCCCTCCCCAAAGCAAAAGTACGACCCCCCCATGGGTTTCACACAACGATGCTGTCCTGTCTGGCTGATTAATCGTCGCGTAATCCGATGCTTATACCCTCTAATAGTGGAAAAAAAGCTGTTTTTTTTTTCGTTGTTTTTTTCACTATTATAGGGTATTTCATAAGCTATCCGGATTACGTGGACGACGATTATCCCAGCCAGCCATTTAACAATGTGTTGCTCCTGTCGGCAAAGTCATCGTTTGTGTGAAATCCCATGGGGGGGGTCGTACTTTGTCCTTTGCGTGAGGGGGGGTCGTAATTTGTAAGCGCGAAAGTTTATGTTGATAGCTGATTTGTTGTGTTGTGGAAAGGGGGGGGGGAGTCGTATAAATTTTTATAGTGTTGTTTGCACTAAATACGGCATTTTGTACGTCTCAACGTGCGAACGGTTGCAATAGTTATTGTACTTACCACTGCACCCTGCAGGCGCAGAGGCGTTAGGATAAAGTTGTATACACAAGTTGGAAAATCCCAGCATGGTGTTGCATATCATCCACGTTACGCGATCTGCAGGAAAACATGGAAAGGAAATTGTGAAGAAGACACGGTGCTAAGCTTGACGACATCTGAGTCTACCAGGTTTATACCTGTCCGCCCGTTTGTATCAGAGAAGAGCTCGCGCGGCTGACCAGCCGTTGTTCTTTGACCCGGCGCGCCATCCTGAGTAACCGGCGGCCTAGCCCTCGCTTGCGTGCACGGGGTTGCTCCCACTCTGTCACACTCTGCCTGAGTTTGAGCCTCTCGGCCCCCGGAGTACCGGAGCGCCTTACTGCCGAATGAGGCCAGCCCAGACGGAGCCATAATTTTGACCCGGAGATGTCTTCTATCGGCGGCAATCATACGAGCGTGAAATGAGAAGCCGTTTTGGCCCGCCAAATACGCTCATTCTCCTGCTAAATAATGGCTGTGGGAAAATCAGCAGCCAGTTTGGTGCTCGTTGATTGTATATATGGAAGGTACGTATGCGAGACGTCCGAGAAGGCTTATGTGGGCATCGATTCCTGAGAAAGGTGAAATATTGTAGACAAGTATTGAAGACACCCTGGAACTTGCAGTGGTCTGATCTGAGGCGATGAGCCGTGTAAATTTCACCAGGTGGTATGATCAGAGCGCATTCCGTCAGCAAAGGGATTCTCTCTTAGTGATAGTAATGAGACGAGTGCAGAGATCATCGAGTGAGGCCTTGTCATGTTATCGCCCAGGTGGAGAGAAATGAAATCTCTTTGAGGGTTCTGGAATGGAAGACCGTCCGCTGCGAAATGGTGGGATGATTCATTCATAATGGATCTAATCTTTCAATGATGCCGGCAAAAGGCGTTGCGATTCTTTCGCAGGTGACTTCGCTCATTTGTATGACAACAGTTCCTCCAGTTTCTTGATTACGACAAATGGTAGGAAACAGAAACGCACTGGTCTTTTCTTTCATTGCCAAAGTGGAGTTTAGACTGAAACTATTTTTTGTTTAATGTCGCCTTGTTAGTTTTTTGGAGTAAGGACAGTGCATCGGCAATTGACTTGTGTATAGTCGGCAGCACGCTACTTTTTCATGAAAACCAAGGCAACTGGATCGCCTCGCTTTACGGGACTGCTCTCTCACACGAACAACAATTATCTTGGAATGTTGGTATTTGTGAGCATATCGCTAGATATGCGATATCATGATTAGCACCAACTTTTGAAGAGCATCTACAAGTAAACTGATGGAATTCACAC